TGCACGTCGCCGTTCCCCACCAGAAGGTCGTGCCCGCTGTCGACACCATGGCCGCAGTTATGCGCGACCTCAGCCAGGACATGTTCCGATGAAAGTGCATGTTGCAAGCGTATGTTTCAAGTGTTTTAGACGTTTTAGAGGTATGTTGCAATTATTTCATATGGATGTTGCAAAAGTAGATCAAGAAAGTTGCACATGTTGCAAGTGTTTCAGAGGCATATTGCAAGTGTTTCAGAGGTTTGTTCAAACGGTACAGCTCAGGAGCGGGCATCCGTTCGTTTGGACGCCACTTTTCGGGCCTGCGCGTACTAGCCCAACATGCCTGCTAACTCTCTGTGTCTCCCCGTCTCTCTCAAAAATATCTCCTCATTGCTCTCGCCCATCGCGTGCTGCTGCGTTGTGCGCGCGATGCTACCTCTTCCCTACTGCGCACCCCATCTCGCTTCACGCAACTCTCATCCAGCGCTGCGCTCCATCCCGCGACGCGCCCCCTCCATCGCCGCGCCTGCTCCAGTTCGCTGCACGCCATGCTCCCGCTGCTGCGCACCGTGCCCCATCCCTGGCGCGCGACGAGGTGCTACTGGGGTGCTGCCGACGCTGCCATTCCCCACTAGAAGGTTGTGCCTGCTGTCGACGCCATGGCCGCCGCGATGCGTGACCTTAGCAAGGAGATGTTACGATGAAAGTGCATGTTGCAAGCGTATATTTCAAGTATTTTAGACGTTTCAGATGTATGTTGCAACTGTTTTATATGGATATTGCAAAAGTAGATCAGGAATGTTGCAAGTGTTTCAGAGGCATGTTGCAAGTGTTTCAGAGGTTTGTTCGAAATGTTTCATCTGTTCCAGACATATGTTGCAAGCGTTCTAATCTAGATGTTGCATATGTTTCACACATATGTTCCAACAATATGTTCCAAATGTTTCAGTTGTTTCAGTCTTATGTTGTCGTAAGGGTTTTCATGTTGCAAGTTGCAAGTGATTTATCCAGATGTTGCGTATATTGCATACATATGTTGCAAGTGAATGTTCCAGATGTTTCATCTGTTGCATACGTATATTGCATTCAAGTGTTTAATTTTGCACATCTTTCATGTTGCTCGAAGAGTCAGGGGGCGCGGGGAGTGGTGGTGGCACGGCGCAGGCACCAAGGAAGGGGAAAGAGTGAGAGTAATAGCGGAGTAGCGGCTCCCTCTACTTCTTGTACTCGGCAAGCCTTGTACATCGGGTGGATGGAGGGTCGGACTTGTCGGCCTCCCCCCCTACACATGTACCTCTACAAATCGTCTTGCTACTTGGAGGAAGACGTTTGTGTTCATCTTTCGATACCGAGTTCCTAAGAAAGTTATCTTTGTTCATTACAAACTTGCAGGTTCATCGTTCGTCCCTAGGATGAATACTCTAGTAGAAGACTTCTGATAAAGACAGAAGTTTCTGGCCAATGCTAGAGTAGTGATCGATAGCGTAGACGTGGTGTCTAAGCTAGAAGTCACCGTCGTTTGCCTCGTATCCTCCGGTTGAGGGGTAGGTGGCAGGTAGTGACATCCCTGTCCGTCATTTGTAATCCCCCACGTTCGGATACGGCGTAGAGCTATAGGCCGGCTACACTTGACAGACCAAGTGTTCACCGGTGCCCGAAGCAAGTCTGTAGTAGCAAAGTTACCTTTTCTAAGGTTCTCTAATCTTTAGAAGAACCTCACTACCCGAGTTATCCTTCTTCTTATTCTCCTAGGTAAACTAGCCAAGAGACTACTTACACCTCTGTTCTTCGTGGAAATACGATACGCTGAATACCACCGGGTGAAGTGCTACAACAGTACTTCCATGCACTTGCGGACTTTTCTCGCTAAGAAGCACCAACACTGGCCGACCTAGGGCAACTTGCCGACTTCCACATCCAGAGGGCTTCCCTCCCAGGTGGAGGTTTTGATGGTATCTTTTCTATTTTGCCCGGAAGCTAGCCATTATTGGTCACTTATAAGTGCTTTGTTGATTTGCCTTTAAATCTAACTGTCCTTCACCATATAAGCGTGCTAGTTATCGTTCTTTGATGTTCTTGGGCAAAACCAAGGAAACCAGCTTGGCCGGCTCCTAAAAACCCACCTTGATCCATTTGCAATCCGACTCAACAGCAAGCTCATACCAATAAAACAGGTCAAAACTCCAAATAAATCACGCTCCTCTAAATTTGTGCAGATAAGAAAAGTTTGGTTTGGACAATTGGCAAAAAAATGTTTATTTATCTCAGAATTTGCGTAAACCATAGTTTATTATTTCTAATTCATTTGTGTACAAGTTATTGTACAATCCCTAGATAACTCTCCTACACCAATGGAAAGCAATGTTTATTTATCTCAGAAATTGTATAAACCCTGGTACATTCTGTCTAATTCATTTGTGCAGACACGAAAAACAAATGTATATATTTGTATACAATTCCTAAATAATTATCTACACGAAACAATGTTTATTTATCTCAGAATTTGCATAAACCCTAGTGCATTCGATTGAGCAGAGCAAGCTAGGATTATTTGCAATTTTGCATACCTTGCGTTGGGCAACACACCAGGTCTTCGATCTGCGGGTGAGGAGGGACGGGGTCGAGGCAAGATGGCAGGAGGGCAGGGATGAGGTAGAGGAGGCGGACAGGTAGAGGCAGCAGTGCAGAGTAGAGCGGGGATCCAAGGTCACCGGACCAGGGACGCCCACTGGGATGAGGGCGCCCGAGGTGGGAGGAAGCTGCCGGGAAGCTATCGGTCACCGTTAAGGAGATCTCGTTGGTCACTATTCATGGAGATCCCATTTGCTACTCGCCAGCGCTGGCGCGCCTCGATCCTGACCTCGTCGTAGATCTCTGCCGCCATAGAGGTGGTTCCAGCGCTCCTCTTGTCTCCCGGCATGGATCTGGTGGAGCCGGTCGCGGATCTGACAGTGGTTAAATTAGAGATAAATTTAACAAACACAAGATCTCTCATCCTTTTATGAAGTAGCCTATTGCGCTTTTTTGTATGAACCTATGAGTCAAGTAATGAACACAAGGATGCAGGTCAGATTTAAATTCCATGAAGAAACATTATAATTCAAAAAAGATAGCCTGCACACAAGGCTGCATGTCACAAATTTTTTTACCTGTTCAAATACTGACCAGTTCCTCTCACAAGCTGAGGGGCTGCAGGTCAGTCTCAGAATCCTTGCTGCCAATTTCCTAAGATTTGGTGTGCTTGTGCCATGGTTCAGCCACCATTTTGCTGCATAAATATTGAACAAGTTACAACAAAAATATGATATTCAGCAATCAAATTAAGTTCACATGTTCAGTTGTTCACCTGGATTGAAATTCTTGTCCTTTCGCTGCCTTGTGGCAATTTCAGATCCAAAATTATCTTGCTGAATTTGATACATGTCGAGTTCTTCAAATATCTTGTCTTGGGTTTCTTCATCATCAACCATCTTTGTAATACAGGATATCACACCTGCTCTAAATAGTACAGCATTCTCGATCTCTGACTTATTTAGGTAATAGTAGTGGGGGTTCAAATAGTAACCAGCCAGGTGTAGTGGAGTTTTGAGCTTGTTGTCCCATCTTTTATCAATGATTTCCCAAACCTCTTTGAAGCAGCTGTTATCATTGTCAAACCTCCAAGAAATTTCTTTCTTTGCCCCAAGCATTAATCCATGGAAGAATCCCATTGATGGTACATCGCTGTCCATTCTTCTCAACACGTTAGTCAATGGCTCAAAGAAATTAACTACAGTGTCAACATTTTTCCAAAAGGTTTGAGTTAAGTACAAAGCTTGAGTTAATATGGCAAACTATGCAAGATTGAACTATGATGAGCACTTGCTTTGTCTGATTTATGAGCAGCAACACATTGAACTATGATTCCAGCACTAAATGGATTTATGACAATGATAACAGCCGCTACAACACATTGCTCATACAAGACTGCTCTAAATGGATTTGTCAGGAACTGAATTCAGAGAGTCCAGCACTTACTTTGTTGATCTGTCATGGTGAAGCCGAAGATGAAGCCGTTGCCGCATGGGGCCCTCTCACCGCCGCCGCTTGGATCTGGAGGAACAGATGGCTCTCTGAAAGTCTGAATCGCCGTTTCCTATTGGAGTCAATTGATGCAGGCCTGGTGGGTGAACGACTTACCAAGCCGCGAGGAGAAGAGATGGCTGCGAGTCTGAGCGGAGACGGTCGCACGAGACTCCGGCCGCCGCGCCGCTTGGGGAACCCTCGCCGCCGCCGCCATTGAAGCCCAGAAGAAGCAGCCGCTGCCGCAGCCTCCTTTTGCGCGGTTGAGAGACCGAGAGGGATGGGAGTATGGGACTTGGAGCTAGGGTTGCTGGTTGCTGCTTGCTGGGTCCTTATGGTGGGGGTGGGGGCTGCTGCTGGGCCGGCGAAAATCTTAGGCTCTCGCGCGGTAGAAGCTGTTGGGCTGCCGCTAAAGTGTGCCCAGCTATAGCGGCTATCTCCGGCTATTAGCTGATTTGGTTTCATAGCGCTAAAAATTGCATATCTTAGCTTCTACCTTGTCCAGGAGCTATCTCCGGCTATAGTTTCAGCTATAGCCGGCTATTTAAAACTTTGATTTATATATTGTAATAGAAACAATAGGAATATATTTGTTTTTATTTATGTCAAATATTTGTTTTCTCGTCATATATACGATCATCCGGCTGGGATCTTCATGATGAGGACCAAATTTGGTATGATATATTGGCCGCCAATAGTGGTGCACTTCAATACAGGGTATATCTAGCCACGAATATATAAATCCTGGAAACTGCACCAGAAACAAGCATACAATACTATAAAAGAAACACTAAAAATGCATGGCAAGAGTTATGCTTCAGGAACGGCAGAATATCTTGAATTGATCGCTCATGGCAAATTTACTTCTGCCTCCAGCCTATATATTACTCCCGGCCCGCAGACTTCACAAGCATCAATCAAGAAGACCATACCTACGTACGCACGCTTAGCTACGCCTAATGGCGCCACCACTCGCGGCGTGGTCCAACAAGTCTCTCGTCTTCCTCATCGTCGTCCCGCTGCTGCTGATGGCTCTCCTCGCTGCGTCATCTGCATCGGCGGGCAGGGCCGGCGGCTTCCAGCTGGAAGCGGATGGCGGATACTGCGGCCCAGTTAGAGTCTGCATGGAAGATCAGTGCTCGGCAACGTGCGCCGTCCTGGGAATCAATGGTGTCGGGCAATGCAAGGTCGTCGGCGGGGTACCCACCTGCTGCTGCGTCCCAACAAAACCCTCCGCCTCCGTCGGTGTCCAATCCACCATCATTGATCCCTAGCCCGCTTGCTTGATGCATGATGGGGAATATCTTTTCCTTTTTTTATAATGAATTTGCTGAGTTCTTGGCGTGGTTAGTGCGGTGCAAGATCTGTGGAACAAAGCCCGATTGTTCATGCTATAATGAATTTGCTGAGTTCTTGGCGTGGTTAGTGCGGTGCAAGATCTGTGGAACAAAGCCTGATTGTTCATGCCAGTAACTACTAGTTTTGTTACACTTGTTTCTTTGCTTGAATCAGTTGGGTAAGAGATGGAAATAATACTACATCCGTTGTGTCTATTTTGTGTTCTTGTTTGATCCTCCTTGGTCACAATCACAAGCGTGATCGTTCATAACACTTTGTTGCCAAGGCCACATTTGATCAGGGCCAGTTGACATGCATGGGTGGATAATTTTTATGTATTTTTGCATCTAAATAAATTACCCATATGTCATTTAATTTTTATTTAAATTAATTCTATCATCATAAAAAGTAAAATAACGACCCCTCTAATCTACGTCTAAATACCAACTTAAACTTTTATGGAAAATTAGTTCAATTAACTGTAAAATATGTACAGTATATAAATTCCATACTTCAACGACTGCTAAAAAAATATGTAGCACAATATGGACTAAATAAGCAAGATATATTACGATAAACCATCTATTTGAATAGTTTATCCAATTACGAAAAATGTACCTTTAACGAATGCATAACAATGGCACCGACAATTCTCTTTAAATTACTTAGGTAATAAATTACATGATGCTTTATGTGCCAACCTTATTTGGCAGCAATCACCACGGCAACATATCAAGATATGATGCAAATCCAGCTTGAATCGTATCAGATTCCTTGGTTTTGGTGAAGGCCTTCAAGTCGACTAAATGTGATCATTCACTTTCAGGCATTTTGTTGAAGGAATCTAAGTTTATTTTATCCAAGCAATTTGCTTGGGTTGATGTGAATTGTGTTCTGTGTTCTTGTAATGAATGTGCACATGAGTTTTTTTTTTTTTGACTAATGTGCACATGAGTTAGCTTTCATGGGTCCGTCTAGCTAGCAACTTGGACCAGGAGACGCTTGTTATAGGTGCAATTCAATCTTTATCACAAAAATTATCTTGCAATCACCCTTGTTTGGATGTCCCAGATAACACGGCTTCATTTGAATATCCAGCTGATTTCATTGAAAATAATTTTCACAAGTGAATAAAGATATTGCACAACATCCAACGATTTGACTATGCATATCATAAATAATATTGGCATTCATATATTTATCACAAGTCTTTACAGGCATGCAGCACCAACTTCATATGGAAAAACTATAAACTAAGCGAAGCTCCTACTTCAATGAACTCAATACCATTATCATTCCATACCACCATTACGTATCTCATGATATTCCCTCCGTCCCACAACTATAATCATATTTTGTATAGGAACAAGTCAATTTTTACAAACTTTGAATAACAATTACTCAAATTATATACAAGTTTAGGATATAAAATATACATCAATAGATTTGCATTTGAAGTGCCTCAGATGACATTGATCCATTAGCAATTGACAACATATTGCGGTAGAAATTAAAGGTCAAAGTCTGTTTTGTATGACTTTCCCCTGATCTAAATACAATTATTGCAATAGCAAGATAACTATCTAAACTTGAAGTAGGAAACATGGTTTCATAAACTCAGATTGCTACCTTTCTGTTTTCTCTCATTTTCAATATCATTGGCAATATGTTGTCAATGACATTGTACAGGATCCCATTGGCACTACCCATAATATAGACTGATTACCAGCTACGTCAACGATGATGGGAAAGAAATTGTTTTGCTGGACTAGAAGAAATCTTAATTCTTGTTAACATTAAAAAAACTTTCAAGAACTTGATACCAACACTAATCAAGAACTAGGAAGATAGCTACACAAAACATCGCTTCAATCAACTTGAAGAGCAACAAACTAAGATAATTAATAGAAAGAAGCATTCCTGTACGATTAAACGCAATATATTTCATAGTTCCATGATGCAAATACTCATCGATTATCTCTGGAAATTCCCCTAGTATGGACCTACAAGAATGCATTGCATATATATAGATTTTTAATATCTGGGAGATATATATTTTTGACCATGTTTTTAATTGTAACACCCCAAAATTTGAATTTTTGGAAATGGAGCTAAAAAGATTTAATTTGAAATTTTTGTGCACATGAAATATACGGAAAAAGAAAAATTTTCATTAAATTAAAATTCATCATAAGGTAGCAACATGTTTGTGCATACATACCGGTGCATTTGTTTCTTTGAATTGTGTGGATTTGATTCAAATTGAAAACATTCAAAATGCTTATGAAAATGAATTTGAAAATGGCTTTGAAATAAAATAAAAGAAAATTTGAAAATAAAAGTGTTTTAAAAGTTGAAGAATTTATTTTTGAAAAACTTACCAAAAGTTCTCATTTCTATTCGAGTGAAAAGTATATTTGAAACTCTATTTGAATTTGATTTGGCTTACATTTGAAATTGGTTTTGAAAACAAAATAGAAAAAAAATGGAAATTGGGAAAACTCCTCCTCTCATTCCTAGCAGAAGGCCTGCTTCGCTCGCTTCTTCTTTTTCTTTCCATGCTGACTCTTTTTCGCTTCCCAGACCAGCCTTGCATGCAGCCCTCCTCCAGCTTCCTTCCTTGCAAGACCGGCCCATCTCGCGTTCTGGCCCAGTGCACGCCTTGTAAGCCCCAATGACGCCGCCGCTTCCTTCTCCTCTTCCTCTGTCAGCCGACCGCCTGGGCCCCTTGTCGCCTCCGCCTCCTACCTCGGTTCATCATCAACTGGACTACTTGCAGCTGTGCCGAATCCCATCCACGCCCCTCTCACCCTTAGCGATTACTCGGCCCTTAAATAGCAGCCTCCCGTTGCCTGTCTGCCCCCACCGAGGCCTAGGACCACCACCAGCCGCCGCCAGAACCCTAGCGCCCATTTGTCTGAGTTCCGCCGAGAAGAAGCCATCACCGCCGGGTCATCCCGCGTCCCTAAAAATCACAGTAAGGACGTCCTAGAGCTTCTAGCCGAGCTCTCTAACCTGCACAACCCCTTTTCTCCCTCTGTTTCCCTCTGTGCTATTTTGTTTCACGTGTGAGTTGCTGCTCCGCCGCCATAGGTCGCCATTTCGCCGTCTCTGTTAGCCCATAGCTGCAATTGATTGCCGATTCGAGTTCAGTAGTGACCTTATCCGTCTCCTGTGCCAAATCGAGTTGAATTAGAGCCCTAGTCACTTTGTCCAATAGCTCTGGCGAGCTCGCTTGCTACCAGCCATGGCGCCACCGCCTGGAAGCGCCGCTCCGGTGACCCCATCCCCTCCGGTCCGATCTCAACCGTCTATTCCCGATCCAATGGTCCAGAATCCCTGATACCCCTTCGCGTGGCTTAATTTCATAAGAGTCCCTTGGTTTCTTTAAAATAGAACCCACGGTCCATTGCGTATTTCACAGCTTATGCTTTCTTCTTTTAAAAGCGTATTTTGTTCGGTTGACTTCAAAAATACGTATTCCTGATTTACAGATTTGCCACTGATTTTGTTTTAACCATGAAATTTCTGTTTTAACTCCATCTTGATCCATTCAAGTTGCATTAGATTCATAATTGAGTAATCTACATGTTCATCCTACTGTTAAATATATTTTCAACTTTTGAAATTCAAGGTTAGATTTAATCTATTATTTTATTAAAGGAAATTTTGTTTAATTCATAACTTTTTTGTTATAGCTCCAATTAGAGTGATTTTTGCGTCTGTGTGTTCATAATGGGACATAGATTCGTTTTTACAAACTTTTCATCTTGATTTTATGTTTGGTGTACTGTTCTAATTCAGATCTATTGTTTGCTTCGTGTATGATATGCGGATGATTGTGTGGTGCTTTATGATCATGTCCAGTCGGTGAGAAGTACGATGATGAAATAGAAGAAGTTGATGATCCAGAAGTCTTTTGGAGGTTACAATTCAGTAGAAGAAGGATATGAGTTTTAAGGCAAGTATAGCATGGAATATTCCTTGTTGTCCTATACACCTTTAATCATTTTATTCATACTGCATATGTCTACCATGACTACCACTAAGGATTTCCTAGTACTTTGTACCATGTGCCTTGATACCTTTGGGTTATTGCATTGGGTAGCTTTGTGAGTGCTCAACTAAAGCCATGATCTTGTAACTTGACTAATGGTATATGCAATAAACACTAAAAGATGTTTTTTAGCAACATGGAACAAGGGGGCTAGAGCATTGGGCTATTTTTATGGTGCTCTAGATTTCTCTCCCTAAGGACTTATCTGTAAGCGAACTCACAGGATTTACAGTATAACCATGAGGACTACATGGCTCTGGTCTTAGTCCAGTACCTTGCTCTTTCTAGTTTGTAGCAGTTTACCGAAATGGCAAGAGGGGTATACCAGGCTGGGTATGGGTCTCATCCCCAGGGTGTGTACTATGCTGCGTGTATCAGTGCCACTTTTAGAGATGACTCCATAACACTTGGGAGATGGAATCCTTAGCGACTGCTCCTTATTAGAACAACTGGGGAAAAGCTTCGTAGTGTATCCTGTCTGCTCACCTTAGAAGTGTTTTGGGAGTAATTAACCCAGGTATATGGGCTACACGACTCATGGTGAAAGTGTACAACCTCTGCAGAGTGTAAAACTGTTATAACAGCCATGCTCACGGTCACGAGTGGCCTTGGACCCTTATGGAATAGATGAAGAACACAGATGATACCGATGATGAAGATGCACACTTATGATTACTGATTATGCTATTCATTATTCATGTTTACCTGATCATGTGTTTATATGAGCTTATGAATAAACTTGTTGCCACCCTATTGCTAAAATCATGATTCATTAAAAGCTAATCGCAGTTAACCTGTGTCAGCCTTTTGAGTCTCATGTACCCCATGTTATATTTGTTGAGTACGACATGTACTTACGCTTACTTTACTTCTTAAATC